GTTCCCAAAGTGTTTTTCTCGAGCACGACCTCGCAAAACTCTGATTTATAGTGGGTAAAAGTGAAAAATGAAGGTGAGAACAATAGTATTTATAGGTGAAAACGATGGGAGGCCAAAGGTCGCTATCTACGACCGTCCACGAAGACACGTGTCACAAATCCAAGCCACTCTCTGCAACGGTCATATCTCGACCTATATCATCAGCCATCACTTCTCAACGAAGGCTCGAGAAATGACAAAACCCATGTGCACCCCATCCTAAGAGCTCGATCTCTAGGACGAGTACACGGGGGCCAGTGACTATGCCAATATTGATATACCCGAGGAGTGTATCCCCAAGGACTCAATACATACCCCCACCTCATTTCTCTTTTATGGTCCTCGGGGTAACCCAAGTCCTCGAGGTATCGTAGTCGTCGAGATACCTCGAGCACACATTTACCTTCCCTAAATGTCCTCGAGAATAGTCCTCGAGACATACACCACCAACATGCCTCCTAAGACCTGGGTACCTAACTAACAAACCTAAACACCCAAGGATTTTACATCAACCCTGACACCACTCGTCAAACAATTCCATTACAAGTAGGACACTCTTTATAATAGAAATTTCCTTGGATAAAAACATCCAACCAACACAATCCTACTAGGAGTACACTACCTACTCCTATAAAAGCAGAACCTTGGGCCATTGTTCAGGTACGTTTTTATTATTCTTCAGCATATAGCCTCACTCATATATTTCCCTTTCTGACTTAAGCATCGGAGGGGCGATAAGAACACACCTCGTTGCCTTTGTTTCAGGTATCGGAAGATCACGTTCGTGCTCATCATCGGTCATCAAGCTCGGGAAATCTACAGGTACGATTTTTGGTAGCATCAATATGGAACTATTGTTGTCTTTTCATAAATTTTACATATATCAAGGGTTACTTCCAGAATTAATCTACAAGTTTAATTATAATACTTTCTCTTTGTTAATACTAGCTATAGATTACTGTCCAATCAATCTTACGAGATAAGACACAACAGTAAATCATGAAATGTATATAACATATACGGAGAAAAACAAAAGATCAGAACATGAACTTTGCCAAGCAAGCTAACCAACGAAAGCACAAGTACGAAACTTGAGACTTGTGTTTACTTCCCCGTTATAGGTGTCAACGTCTAACCTTTGACAAATAATTATATTTTGGGTCAAACAAAGGGATTCTTGTTCCATATCTGTCTGTCCTTCCAGTAAATTTACTTTTCTTGTTCCAGGCGATGTCTACAATGAGCAGAACTTGTATACATCTGAAATTCACACATCATCTTGCAAGGATATCCCACGGGCTTATTTATACTTGAACTTTCTGTGCATAGGTACTCTACACACTTAAATTTCTGGAAAATTATGGGAATTCTCGGATTTCTTCTCTTCATTTTCTTAATCTTTCCGATTGTCCATTCGCAGAATGTCTGTTCATCTTCTTTCTGTGACAACATCCAAATAAATTACCCTTTCAAATTACAAGGCCAAGAACCGGGAAATAATTGTACCTATATTAACCTGACGTGCAGTAATCAGGGAATACCCATTCTAAATCTTCCTTTTTCTGGTGATTTTTATATAACTTACATCAACTACTATGACAACAGAATAAACCTTGACGATCCCAGCAATTGCCTCCCAGGAAGACTTCTGAATAACTCTATGAATCTTTCATCCTCACCTTTCACGGCCCATTTTTATGAGAACTACACATTTTATACCTGTCCTGCAAATGCAGGCCCCGTGGGATATGATGCTTTGCCGATTGGTTGCCTAAGCAATTCTACAAATGCCACAATTGCTACATCCCATGGATCACCAGAAGAATTTGAATATTATGGTTGCAAGATTATAGGCAGTTCCCTGTTCCCAGTCATGTATCTGGGTCAGTTCGAGTATCGAGGAATTAATGATGATCTTTCATTGCATTGGAACGTTTCTGATTGCAAAGATTGTGATCCACAATCTCCTCCTCAAGAAACAGGTAGAGATCATTCTTGATTATTTATTTTTTATAAAAATAATCATCATTCAGTAGGACTTGTTTAGTATGCCGACAGATTAGATAGTGTGACGGGCAAAATTTTAGTTTCTATTTTAAATATGGTGTAGCATTATATACTCCACTTCACCAAACAAGTCATTACTGCTGTTTTCTTTCGAAATATAATTGAGAAAATCACCCTTAAAACCTAATTAATTTATACAGATGTTCTCTAACCTTGTTATATTTACAGGTGAGTCGAGATTGATAACATATTTGAAATCGCCACTCTTTATTCTATCATTTCTTCTACTCGTGCTACTCCTGTTACCATGTTGGGTGCGTTTGATCAAGATGAGAGTACGAAGAAATGAGGCCAACGCAAGTGCTGATCACAACTCTACCGCTACTGCTGCTTTGTCTCAATCCACCATACCAACCATATTGCCGCAGCCCATGCTGCAGCCAGGCCCAGTGATATTGGGCCTTGATGACTCCAAAATAAAATCCTACACAGAATTGGTAGTTGTTGAGGAAAACCAAAGCATTTCAGGAAAAGGGAATAGTTCTTGTGTAATATGCCTCGAAGCATACAATCCCGAAGAGAAAGTAAGACGTATAGCTAAATGTGCGCATTTCTTCCACAATGACTGCATTGTTTTGTGGTTAAAAAAGAGCAGAACTTGTCCAGTTTGTAGAACTCCACTTTCTGATGTCAAAATTTGACCTAATTATTCAGGTCTTTTTTGTTCAAAAAAACTGCAGTTTTTTTTTTTTTTTTTTTTTTTTTTTTATTATTTTTTTTTTTTTTTTTTTTTTGACTTACAGCTTTTGTGAATGATTGATTAATATAGAGAAGTGAATATATGAATAATGACTTCATTCATGCAAAATGAGCTACGTTACATGTCTATTTACAATGTAACTAAAGTGATAAGATACACAAATGAGAAACTTTAATCCGTTGATTACAATTTGAGTTCCAATAGGTATCTATCTATTCAAGTCAATTGCAACTAAATCTGTTTGAGATCATCGTCATCCAAGGTTGACAGTGTGTATTATTAAGTTTTGGGGCCTAATTCATTAAGGACTTGTAAAATTCTATGAAGTAGTCGAAATCATAGTTATCAAACTCGACCCAGACAATGCAGTGGGTCAATGGGTCAGTGGTTCAACCGGTGACCCGGCGGTTCAACCGGCAGGTCAATTCCTATTAAAAAAATTATTATCTATTTCCATTGAATAATTTTATTTTATTTTTTTCCATTTTCTACTAATAACTAAATTAATCTCATATTATTTTGTTAACTAAATATCTATTTGTATCCCAATTTCACAAATTCTGGATCATAATGATTAACAAGAAAAAAACATAAGTAAAACCAACAATTAATGATTAAAAAGAAAAAAAGAAAACACTACTTCATATGGTTATGTTTAACAAGATAGCTTCATATAGTTTAAGAATATTCTTGCAAAAGTAAAACCATCAACTAAAAGTTAAACATGGATAAAGAACATGTTAACAAAATAAATTATTTGAAGTTAGTCAATATTTTCTCAATTAAGAAGAGTTAGAGCGCATCCATACTGGGGTTTCAGACATAAATTCTTCAATTCCTTCTCCTTGCACCAATGATGGAGTCTCAATCATACTAAAATCCTCATTTCCATTGTTTGTATCATTTCCATTGTCGTCGTTTCCATCACAATCAAGATCAAGATCATCAAAATGTAATTCATCTAAAAATAGTTGTAAAATTTAAATGTTACATCATATATACTTTAATAAAAAGAGGAAACAATAGCATCAATCAAACAATTACCATCGTTTTTATCATTTTGTATAGAGCATGCACTCAAATCACGACGAAATGTCTCTAACTCATCATCTACCATATTCAGTGGCTCCTCTTCTAATACCCAATTGTCATAAACGACAAACCGTTCAAAGTCGATAGGATCATAATTTCGACTTTTGAAATAATTCCTAAACAAAAATTATTAGCCAATTATTAATTAATCAAAATCTAATTTAAGTAAAAGAAAGCAAAATTTTAAAATAAAATAAAATATCACAGAAGGATGAAATGATTTATTTAAATAACATTATCATTGTTGCAATCGTAAATTGTAGTGCACATAAACAAGATCATTAAGCCTTTGGTGCTCGAGTCTATTTCTCTTTTTAGAATGAATATGTTCAAACATACTCCAATTTCTCTCACAACCTGACGAACTACATGTTTGACTTAGTACTCGAATTGCAAGTGTTTGTAGATTTGGTGCACTACTACCATAACACATCCACCATTCATCTGTACCAAAACAAAGAGAAAATAAATAGGACTCGAAATCATTATAAAATTTGATTTTGCCCTATTTTATCTTATACATAGGAAAACTCCTTAGGTGTTCTAGCAACCATCAAATAGAGGGACAGAGAGAGCTTAGAGAAGACAAGTGTGTGCTTTTCTTTCTTAGTCAATTACTGCAACGGCGATAGGGGATGTAATCTCACGTTGAGACAAACCTCTATAAATCTAGCACTTTTTTTTTTTTTTTGGGAAATTGATTACTTTTGGTAGAATAATATTAGGGTTTCGAATTCTCAATGATTAGTATTAGAGCTTTTGATTTTGATTGAGAGTAATGAATAGCGAAGAAGGAATGTCCCTAAGGATCTATAAGTTTGATGGTATGGAATTTGCATTTTGGAAGATGCTGATCAAGGATTATCTATACTGTAAAAAAATTGCACCATCCACTTGTGAATGAAAGCTGGAAAAAACTAAGGACGATGAAAGGAAACTCTTCGATCCACTACTAAAAATCATAGCTTCAAGCACGGATTTTCCGTTCCTGAAATCTCAATATCCATTGTTATTACTCTTCACCAACAGAATATTTGCAACTGCAAATTCGTTGCTAATTTGAGGGCCGCTGATAGTTACCAACGGATCTTACCATAGGTAAAGAGTAAACATTTCACCAACGAATTTTTCGTTGGTAAAGTGTGAATATTTTACCAACGAAATTTTCATTAGTAAAAATCTTAACAAATACCAACCAACTTTCCATTGATAAATATCTACCATCACAATTGATAAAAATCAATGTTGTAAATAGCCGCATAGGTGTGAGGCATGGTAAAATATATATATATATATATATATATATATATATTTTTTTTTTTTATTGTTATTATTATTTATTTAATAATTCTAATTTTTTTTAATTTTTAGTCAACCGAACTGAAAGGCCAAAATATTGTTTAACCACTCATTGGACCACATTTTAATTTATAGAGGGCAACTCCGGAGACTTTGTTGTAAACGTTCGATGTGAGATAAGTGAATTACTTTTACCAACGAATAATCCGTTTTTAATTACCAACGGAATATCCATTGGTGAAATATCCAAATGTTAAACGATTGCATGAGGCATGGAATAGCCGTTAGTAAAGAGATATCATCATTACCATTGAAAAATCTGTTGCTAATTATCGTAGTTGAAAGTGAATTACCATTACCAACGAGTAATCCGTTTCTAATTATCAATGGATTGCATCCGTTGGTAATATTTAATACATCACCTATGGATATTCCGTAGGTGAAAGATTAAAATATTAAACGGTCACATGATGCACTGAATATCCGTTGGTAAAGAGATAGCATCGTTACCAATGGAAAATCCGTTGCTGATTATCGTAACTAAAAATGAATAACTTTTACCAACAAATAATTCATTTCTAATACCAACGGATTGCATCCGTTGGTAATTTTTCGTAGGTGAAAAGCTATTTTTTAGTAGTGATCATAATGTCTTGAGTTTTATCCTATTGACACTATCGAAGAACGTTGGTCACAATGTGATGGCCAAGAAAACCACAATGAATTTAATGAAGGTATTGTCCTATAGGCTTCATTTGAAGTGGTTCCAAGGAAAAATAAAGGTTGTTTTCAGCTATGTATAACTTAAATCTAGCTAAGAACTATAGTTCAAGTTGAGTACTAAGTACAATGGAGAAGATTTAAACTTCATCTTTATACTTTATGATACTATCTGGTCCACCTCACCAAATGTGCCTATAATGTTATCTTAGTACACAACCTCTCTGCTGTCAAATCTTCAAAGACATATTGAACTAGGATACAAGATTTAGAGGTGGAATGGAGGTAGCTTAGGATTACTTGATTTAGCACAACTGAAGCTAGATTTTAGAAGTTATAAACCACACGACAGTATGTACCCCAGCCCTGGGTGGAAGGTGTCCGTACTGCTCCAAGTGCTGCACAGCTATTATCTTAGAATTGATAAGTCCAAAATCAGGATTATTTGTCTAAATCTTCTCATCCATTTTATCCACGGTTTTTTTTTTTTTTTTGCATTGTTAATTTGATTTTAACTATGGTTACAGCAAAACACTTGTTTTAAATTCCCTTCATCCTTTTTATTCATTTCGTTCTTAGTTGAACTGTTTCGATCTCAACTTTCAAATTCATAGAATTGTAACCCACTGAGGACTATATATCAATCCAAAGATTGTTTGATTTTAGATTTTTAATCCTTATTGATAAAGCTCAAAGTTCAGATTTCAAATGAGTGCAAAACTAAAATCCTCAACATATGCAAAAGAAATATACCATGTTTGTGACTCTGGATATAGTGTATGTCGTCTTATATATATATATATATATATATATGAAGTTTACACCTCGTTTGAGCCCCATTATTTCTCATTATATTAAATTAAATTTTTCTCTCTCCTACTTTTAACCACACAATTTTCAATAAAATAATATTACACGTAAATCAAAAAAATTTCAACCACTCATTTTTCAAAAAAAATATTATTCATCTCATTATTATGTCAAATAATGGGGCTCAAACACACCCTTAGTTATTTCCTGTTAGTTGCAAACTGGGTTGAGTACAATCATGTAAGGCACTTTTTCTTCAATAGTTGTTTTAATATGACCTCCGCAACATTAATGATCATATTTGGCCTAAATTGGTATAAACTTGTTATATTTTATGTACAAACATGTAACTTCTCGTGTATTGTTCGAATATACATTGTTATATGAAGATTCGACAAGGTTTATGATTAATATGACATACATACTTAAACTGAAACTAATGTGTTATATGGACGAACTTTGAAAACTAGTAATGAACCTCATACGTAACCCGAATGTGAAATTTCAAATCTATAAGTGACTTCTCCATTGTGATCATCAATGCAAATAACGTGTGACCATCAATTGCAAAATATTTTATAAAAAACTAAATGAAAGAATTTTGCTTAATTTTCTCATAATTTCTGCTATGCAAATATCTTTTAATAAACATAGTAGTAAGAGGATGATCCAGCTCTTATCTCCTTAAAAATTCTCATTTTAATAATATCGTAAACCTCTATAAATTTAATTAACTGGGTTGAGTACAATCATGTAAGGCACTTTTTCTTCAATAGTTGTTTTAATATGACCTCCGCAACATTAATGATCATATTTGGCCTAAATTGGTATAAACTTGTTATATTTTATGTACAAACATGTAACTTCTCGTGTATTGTTCGAATATACATTGTTATATGAAGATTCGACAAGGTTTATGATTAATATGACATACATACTTAAACTGAAACTAATGTGTTATATGGACGAACTTTGAAAACTAGTAATGAACCTCATACGTAACCCGAATGTGAAATTTCAAATCTATAAGTGACTTCTCCATTGTGATCATCAATGCAAATAACGT